TGTATTCAAAGATAAATATTCATTGGAATTTTTTTTTTTTAAAACCCAAATATATACAAACATGAAATATTACAGATCAGTATGGACAGTTCACACATACGATTTTTTTAATATATCAAGTCGACATAAAGAATACAATTTAAATTGATTTGAATATGAAAACAAAACCCATATCTTCTAAATTAGTTTTTAAATTATATTCTTGCTACTTTTTAAGTTCCCTTTTTTGCCATGGTGCTGTCAATTGTCGACTTATGAGTTTTAATGTCTCTTTGGTAGCTTTTGCCTATTGTCCTTCACGTTCTTCTCTGTTAATATAAATAGTTAGCTTAGTTCCTAATGTTGTAAATGATATAACTAGATACATATAATTTTATTTAATAAAATATTCAAGTATTATCATATGAACGTGCATTAAAAATAAATGAAACAATATATTTATTTTTTACCTGGCTTTTTGATAGCAAGAAATGAATATGTTACCTAATTTCTTAATTTTATTTTTTATTTCTTGGTAATCTACCTTTTTAGTATGATAAAACATGTTTTTCTTTTCTCGGAAAATGCCGCAAACCCCGATGAAATTGTTTACAGTATGCATTGTACATTAATTATTAGTGCCAACTGTTACAGGGGTACTTAACCTTTGAAACGACTGTCGTCAAATAGATTAGAATTTAAATTCTTTGTGTGTGATCATATGTAGCTTGTATCAATTCACTATAGTGCTACTATTATAAATACAGTTTTTATATATAAACTCATCATAGATACCAGGATTAACATGTATAATATAGGATTTAATAATACATTGTACATGTAATTTTAAGAGAGTGTTATAAGCTAAAACTGTTCCTAGATCCTATTTATGTATTAGATGTTGGATTCTCGTATCTGAGGGAAGTCTTACATAGAAGAACTAAATTATTTTATCCAGATGCAGTAACATTTTCAGAAGATGATTTGTAGTAATGGATTTGGAATAAAATCTTGAGTCTATTTTTCTGTCATTAAATTGATACCTAATCACTGCTCTTGGGAATATGAATCGCTGTACAAACTTGTTTTTTTTTTTTTGGGGGGGGGGGGGGGGGGGGAGGTTATTGCAAAGATCTGAACTTTGTGTTGATAATGATAAACACTTCTAAGCTAAATAATAAAAAAAATATGTTTAAAATCAAATTAAAATCAGGCCTTACGGAAACATTCAGTATCACTTTCTGAAACGTTCATAAATCAAAGGATGCAAAGCAGACCTATCTTGATAATATTTTGAACAATAGCCAAACTAAAACAAATACCTAAATGTATTCCAAATGAAATGCAATTAATCTTAACTAAATCTAAAAATAACTTATTAAATCAACTTATTAAAAAAGCATTCTTCTCTACCAAAAGAAATATAATATTTAAAGATTTGTGCATGGCTTCAAATTCCTTATCCTCGGACCATCACCTGTTCACATTTAACATTATATATTAAAACAAATATTGCGTTGTTCTATACATCGTAAGCATATATGATTACATCAATTAAAATAACAATATCTACAAGAAAATTGATACTTGAACTTTAATTATTTGGATGATAAAGTGAAACCAACGATACTGTAATGCTCGTGACAAAGTTAGTTTTTGTAATTAAACCATTGACGTGAAATATAAAATGTCAAGATATTTTTGATAAGTGATATGTTTCAACGTAAAACCCGGTTATTCTCAAACTATTATAAGAAAACCATTACAACAGATAGAAAATAGTTTATGATTTTTATTCAACCGACAGTTTCCTTCTATTGTACGTTTTATTAATCTACAGTTTTACAATATAATAATATTTAAACTAGCACTTTTATATAGATTTCAATTATCTTGAAGAGAAATATCAACATGATTCATAAAAGTTGTTTGGTATCAAATGTGGGAAAAGATATTGCCTAAATTGCCTGTGCGGTTTCCACGATTTAAATAGGTGTAACAAGATCAAAAAATCATTGTCACGACACATCTGAAGAACATTCTCAGATACATGGCTCATTTTTTTCCCTTCAGTTCTAATGGCAAATTACTCAAATGTTATATCTAGAACTTTCATAAATATCTATTGGTCCCAGAATTAATTAAGGCTGACTAAACATATGTCTGCATTGTATCATAATAGTCCTCGTCCTTGATGTAATATCTCTATTTACCAGCAATAACCAACTAATTGAACAAAAAAGTCCATTATACAAAATTAAACTAAAGTCAAAATGTTATACGACGCAATTGAACCACCGCCTTACGATCAGTGTTAAAATGTCACACGACACAATTGAGCCACCGCGTTTAGATCAGTTTAAAATAATACACTACACAATTGAACTACTGAGTGTTAAAAGGTTACACGACACAATTGAATCACCGCGTTTAGATCAGCATTAAAATGATACACGACACAATTGTACCACCGCGTTTAGATCAGTGTTAAAATGTTACATGACACAATCTAACCATCGCGACTGGATAAGTGTCAAAATGTTATGAGCGATAACTATCTCACACACGATTATAACCATCAAAAACAAACCATACATCAATAAATTGAATTCTTATCTGTAATTTTTTTATTTTATTGTCTTCTTCAACATTGCTACATTTTGCGATTCCCATCCCTGTACAGAATACATGCCTAATTCACGTTTCTGTTACTGATATGTTGGTTAAGTTAGGTTGGTATTATGTTTCCCTCTTACACAAAGGATCTTATCGCTTGAATTGTAAACCACAAGCTATGAGGTTTGTGTATCTTTCAGTTCATTTGATATGTCGGTGAACATTCTTGAAATTGTTTCAGGATTTTTTCAATTTTCCACATCCGGGGACTTCATAATTATTTAAGCAAAATGTTTAATTATTGTACGTTTTTGCTTTTATTTCAACACAGATCCCTCGAATTTCACAAAAAGTTTGCAATCATTATGCGGTAGTGCACTTTCTATAATGGAGTAAGTGGACCGTATGAGTCAACAGATATCAAATGTTTTCAAACCATTCAAGTAAAATATATATATTAACAAAACCCTCGAATATATATCAGCCAACGGGAATTGTGTTAGTGTTAAAATTAAATTAACACAGTAATGTGCACGTCAAACAGTTATTTTCTACATACTATTCTTTCAATTTTCAGGAAACTAGGTATCCTGAAAGGCTATCATAAACCAATGCATATCATTTACATGAATGCTTCTAGTATTTGTTTGGAATAGAACATTTTATCCCAACACACTGTAACTGAACCTTAATAAAACTTACAGTACATTCCAAGTTTGCTTAACGTGAAAAGAATACATTACAACATTTATTGATGTTATGAAATATTTTTTTTAATTGTATATTGAATATAGAAATATAGATTCCACCACTGCACCAAGTGTGTTACGATATGTCTCCACTCGAGACAGTTAATTTTGTTTTATTTAAAGCGCAAGGCTTGGCGAGCCTTTTTATAATTAAATGATTTTATCCTTCTTTTTCGAAGATATGTAAAAAGTTGTGGTCTTTATATGTGCCTTTATCAGGCATGATCGCCTTTTTTCATGTCGTCACAATAGGAAACTCAGAAGAAACCAGAAACAATTGACGTCATAATTAAGTTTCGACCAATCATTTGCCAAGAACAGATATTTCACTAGTGAGGAGAACAATTTTTTTCACAATCGGTTTGGAATTGTAAAATAATGAAAAAAATAGAGAAGATAGTTTTTAGAATTGCAGATAAATAAAAACTCACAACCTGTTTCGCAGAAAATTGACTGCATTTTTTTTATTGCGTCATTTATACGTTTATTCGAACAAGATACTTTGAAATTAAAGCATTTCAGAAATTGAGATTTGTGGTGCAGTCGTAACCTGCAAAACGCGTAAGTAAGGAAGCAGACTTTTTCTATTTCTGTTAAATTGTAAAAGGCGGTGTCTGATTTTTTGTTTGCTCCAATGGTTGTTGCAAACAGACCCAAACTAAAACATTTACCTTCAAACCAGTAAAGATCATTGATCATATCCTGCAAATTAAACCGAGACAGATGTTAATTTTCAAATGAAAATTACAATTTTCAAATTGTTGTTATCAAAATGCCTTCCCCTTATCTGCAATTGTGAACTCACTGAATTATACTTATTACCGAGTTTGTACTCGCATGAGCAAATCGATGTGTGCCATATATAGAACAGGATCTGCTTAGCTTTCCGGAGCACCTGCGACTTATTGTGGGGGTTCCTTTTTTTACTCAGTCAGTCATTTATGTTGTGATTTGTTAACTGTTTTGTTAGCCTTTGGTTCTTTTTTTTTCGTGTTTTGCAACGACGTTATCAGTTTGTCATCGACTTTCGCATTCAAATATTCATTTTGTATCTTCCGTCTCTCTTAATCAGCCGAGGTTTTTTTCAAAACAACAGAGTTTGGTTAAGGAATATGAAAGGAATATGAAAGGAATATTACAGTTGTTATCCATTCGTTTGATGTGTTCGAGCTTTTAATTTTGCCATTTGCTCATGGACTTTCCGTTTAGAAATGTCTTCGGAGTTCGGTTGTTTTGTTATTTTACTTTTTAATTCCATGAGAAAACATTAAGAGAATATATAGCATAGCAATTTACAGCTTGATTAAATAATCCTTCACCACCCCCATAAATGAAAATAGGTAAAAAGGATTGTACTATGTAAATATATAAAAAAACTTTTTTTTTGGCAATTATCGCGATTTACTATTGTTACCATATTTCCTCACATCCATATGGAGACAGATAAGTCATATTAGATAGCTAAACATAAAGTTTTGACTGATAATGAAAATAAGCAGTACTTGTAGCGTATAAATAAGACTAGCATTGTTGGTAAAAGTCAGTTTGACGCACTTTTATTACTTTTGTAATCAAACAATCAAAATAAAATATTAAACATACTTAGGTTACGTACATTGCAACAAAAAATTGTATACTCTAAGGAAAAAGAAGATACTCAAACAAATAATTTATTTAAAACCATTAATACTCATAACAAATACTTTATTATATACCAAAGTATATATTTTCCTTGAAAGGATATGACATCTTTATAATGTTTGAATCAACCCATTTCAACATCAAATTATTTTTACATATTAATGTCGATCTATTCAAACCCATTTGACAAAACAAACAGACGCGTTGAACTCATCCAGTTTATTTAACAACATTCATAAGATGGTGTGTCTTACATGAATATCCTCCATCTTCTTGATTTTATTCTGGTAAATTATCTAAATGATTCGCGGGACGGGAATATATACATATCATTTTTTAGTATAAAAGTAATAAGAGAAGATATCAAAAGAAAACGTTCCTGGAAAATATATTCAAAACATTCCTCAGTTTCTGAAATGTAGTTTTAGGTAGAAATTATAGGTACACATATATATTTGAAACGTTTCAAGTGCTTCCTATGACTATGCTTATTTAAATCTACAGAGTAATTATTCAATTGTGGGTTATCAATATCAGTGTTGAGTTATATGTCATAATAATTTTGTCATTTTAAATATAGGTCAATGTAATAAGAAAATATTAACATGAATTATATTATTCTATAATGTATTAAGTATCAAATTACGCAATAAATAGAGGCTTAAAGGCCTCGAACGATTTCGTATATACAAATCCATAAGAAATCTGTCTTATTATGAGATCAATAATGTATATGAATATAAAGGTACTGGTATAGAAATTAAAAAAAATACTCTCAGTTGTCTACCGTCAGTTATGATGTTAATGTGCTTGGTGTTATTTTGTTATATAAAACAATTACATTTATTAACACTGATTCCATTTTATCAATACAATAATGTGCTTTCTACAATAAAATAAAAACTAAAATATTCCCTAAACTAAAATATTTTGACAGATGGTGTTCCACTCAATTTTAAAAATACTAGACAACATAGAGGCAAAAGCAGCTTAACCGATATTTAAGATTCGCATTTCAATGATGAACGATCACGTTTTTATGCTGATTGATAAGGAGATTCAAGATACCAATGAGAAACAACAGTCAACAAACATCGTTTAATGTGAATGTGCACGCGTTCACTATTAGTAGAGTTACATGAACGCAATACAGGGGTAGCAGAGGTTGTGTCCACCTGGGTACATCATACGAAAAAGGACCTAAATATGTAAAGCAGAGCTTCTTGTTTCGATATTATCCTTATTGTCAAATACAACGGCATACGTGAGATGCAAGGAATTTGTTGACACGTAGGATTTTTTTAACAGAACATCAATATTACCTCTGCACGTGAAATTAACGAACTAAGTGAATGCTTCTCTTCGTCATTAAGAACGTTTTGCATGAATTTATTCTTTATATTGTATACAATGAAAACACCCCGTTTTTTAACAACATATTTAAATATTTATTTCAATTACTGGCTGGTTTGTTACAATAGCAATCAGATGTCCAAGCTCCTCCTGGTGTTCCCTGTTACATTCCACTAATTACTAAGGACAGTCATTAGTTGTAAAATTGAACTTACATGAAATATATATTCACAAATATCAATCATTATGACGTTTCAAATGTTTTCTAATGGTAACTAACATATTATTTAATTTTCACACTTACTCTCATATTGAATTCATGAATGAAATTTGAGAAAACATTGGCATTGTTGTCTCTTGGTCAGATATGTAATACTCTTCTTAAATTGAAAAACTGATGATTGTTTATATATGCACATATGGAGCAGGATCTGCTTATCCTTCCGGAGCACCTGTAATCGCCCCTATTTTCTGGTTGGGTTCGTGTTGCTTAGTTTTTAGTTTTCTATGTTGTGTTTTGTGTACTATTGTTAATCTTTTTCTTTTTTAGCCAAGGCGTTGTTAGTTTATTTTCGATTAATGAGTTTGAATGTCTCTCTGCTATCTATGCCCCTCTTTTAAAGCCAATATATGACTCTTCGTCAGAAACTTTTATCCAAATGCTAGATGTTTTAATTTTTTCTTATAATTTATTTTATCCCTCTTAAAACTTCATTTATGTGTAAAACTTTTCTAAATACGGACACATTATAGAGAAGTGGTCGTAATTTCCTTCAAAAGCTACAAAAGCTATTGTTTACAATTTTCCACCTGAATAAAAGTTTCCTTGTAGATATAATATGTTGGTGTAATTTCCATTTTAAAGTTTAAAGTTTATTTTCTTTTAAAGATTAATAAAAATTCATATAACTAGTTTTGATGTAACATATCATCTATATTAAGCATATTCAACGATTTTTTTTATCCAAAAGCTGGCTTAATTTTTTTTAAATCATTTATCAGAGACATACATAAAAGATTGCTTGATAGTTATATTAATGTTATAGGTAAACCTTGCATATAAAAGATTGCTTGATAGTTATACTAATTTTATAGGTAAACCTTTCCATATCAATGGGTTTCTTTTTATATTAACAAGTCTTTTTTGTAGAATTTTCCGACTTTTAAGATGGCTGTCCATCTTTTTGGTATTAACTTCTTTACCCAATTAATTTCTGCTATCCAGTTGGATATATATTTTAGTTTATTCTTATGAAACTGAACTTTTTCATCTGTGATTTCAATCACATAAATACGTTCGCTTTTAATTCATTTTTTTTCAAAACAATAGCTTTAATTTCAAATTTAATAAATTTAATGTTCCATAATATTTGTTTTCTTATATCTGTAAATGTTTCTGGCTTTTTCGTTAGACTCCCACAAGTTAATTTTCAACATTAAGGATAGTTTTGACCAAAAATTATAGAAAAAGTATTGAGTTTTTGATTTTCCAATCGCCTTCACAATCACTTAAAAGTCTTTTAACCCAAATAGTTTTAAAGCAATGAAATAACTTCTTTTACCTATCATATCAATCCCCGCTTTTTCCTATACAAATTAAGAAACCATTTCAAAGTATAATTTCATTATTTTGTAGTAGTTCCTCACATACCTGTACATTTCTACAAAAGTACAGTTAAAAAATATTTTCATAATAATCATACTGTTATCGACAATATACATCAGTCTATTTCTACAAACTTAAAAAGTACAATTCATCATGCTATATATAGTTACGGGTAACCAATAAAACACACTACCGGTGATTACGGCATTTGATTTACTGGCCCTTTTTTACCTTGTTATGTTTAAATCGATATACAAAAAAATTGGCATCAAAATATTCATCAATCACCACTTGTTGTGCACCTTTTAGTTACAAAAGCAATCCAATTCGGAAAAAAATGTTGTCAATAAAACATTTCAATATTTTCATGATATCACCCACAGTTTATTTGTTGTTTTTTTATCCACGGGATTCTTTACAAAGTTGTATTTTCATTAATGTAATCATAAAATTTGTTAAAAGGGCATTCTGTTTTGAGGCTATATAGTTGATTGTACAATTCAAAATGAAGTGAAGTAATGTTCAATTTAGAATAATTAAAAGTATTTATTTATTGTGAAAAATAGTGATTGAAGATTGGTTCTATCATTTTCATGTAATTGTATTTACTAGTTGAATATACCCCATTGCGACAATTTCTACTGTAATAAAAATGATCGGAAGAGTAGATACACCTGCTATATATCGTTTTTAAAAAGGATTTTCCTAAAAAATTAATATGATAAAAGAGATATGGCTATTATTCTTTTTTCAAATTGACATCAAAAGGTAAAAAAAATTTTTATCATTAACGCTGCAGATGAATTTAAAGTAATTTTGTTACACCATCCGAATTTATCATTTTAGAATGCTAGACATGCTAGACGATATTAATTTTGGCTTTAACTTGTCTCTTGGAACGGCTACACATTTGCAATTTGCAATGTAGGATTCGGATCTTCATCCTCGTTTGTCATCAATGTTTAGAAACTAATGTGTTTATAATACATTATAGTTTCTAACGCTATTCCGAATAAATGACCAAACAGCTTGGATATATTCATCAGATAAAGGGTTCACGTTTCAATCGTCTAGCTCGGGTTAACTAGAGTATATGACAGCATCAACAAGTGTATCAATTAGTCATTTGAACTTCTTTTCCAAATGCTGGACTTAGGAGTCAAACTACATCTTCTCATTTTAATGACGGAAAATTCGACATGTCATGCCTTTCGATAACAAGCTCTCTGAGTTGAGCATTTATTTACGATCGATAAAAGATTATGGCAGTTGTTTTTCACTTGCTCCGTCGATTTTGTCAGTTTTTATTAACCTTCCTTTTTTGAATATGCCTTCGAGTTTGGTAGTTTGTTATCCTTTTTTTTTTTAAACATGACAAGCAATACTATAATTGAATTAGGAAGGTGACGACATGCTAGAGGGTGAGGATATCTAATAGACCTTTTCGTAATTGAAATCTTAGAAACCAATAGAGAAAATTTAAATATCTACAGCCTTGTGCTGGTAAGAAAATGTCTTATATTTACATAACGTTAATAATTTGTACCTAACAACGTAAGAACGGAAATATTCAATACGCATGTATTTACAAAAGGGAGCCAATGTGCAATCAGAACATACAGAAATAGACTATATAAATACCAGATCATAATCATCATCTTACTCATAATGCATTAAAAACATAGGTTCACATCCTTAATAGTTATATTTTATCGTCTTCTTCTACACCACTATAAAACGACTGTAAAATGACCAGACTATTGAGGTAATGTCCCCTTAATATATAACTTGGGTGTGAAATGTCCACACTGATATACGATCCTGTCAATAGAAATGTCTTATCCTTTATTTGAAGAGTTTCGTACGTATTTTTCTTCAATAAAACCGTTTTACATTTCCCCCATCCATCGCTGTAATGAAGACATGCCTCATTTACAGTATTTCTACCTTTACTGATGTGTAGATTAAGTCAAATTGATAATATATTTTGCTGTGTAACGACGAATTTGTCGTTTAATAAATCGTATACCACAAACGATGAGGAATATGTATGTTTTAACTTCCCGTAGATATGAAATGTTGGAGGAGCTCCGATGATTGGTTCAAAATAAAGTGATTGTCCTTTCTTTACCTTTCGTTCTTGTCTTGTTTTTGTATGATTATCGAGCATGAAATGTGCAAACAAAGCTATGATGCCAAGGAATAATATAAAGACCACAATTAACGGAAGATGAACAAACCATTTTCCCATTATCAATATCTGAAAATTAAAAAAAATAAATTATACAGTGATAAGGTATTGGATATCCAAATGTATAGCAACCTAAATATAACAGAAGTTTCACTTTGAACGTAAACTGTTAAGATTGTGTACCAGTATATTACTCTATTGGGTGTACAAAAGGTTAATCTAACATTTCAATTTTTGTATGTTGAAGTTCTTCCCTTTTTCAATTAGGTTCAGTCTACGTTTTTCTGTTTGACATCTATACATATTAAGTAATTAAATTGGACCATTCAAGATAGTATTTATCAAGAAGAATACATTTGCAATTTATCACTATTCTACTAAATTTTCCTTTGATCTTACTGACTGATAATTTACTTTCTCAGCACAATAGAGTGATATGAAAAATTATCGCTAAAAACTAAGGGCGCACGTGCCGTTGTCATTGAAATTAACAACGTCGTCATAGGTTAAATAGCGATAAACAGAATATCATTGGTTATCTCACCTCGATTGCTGTTCTCACTTTCGCCTTACTGGCTCAAGCGAGAAAATCAATCTTGTTGAGATGATCAACGATAATCTATAAGTATCGCTTTCCCTACATGATTAACAGAAACCTCAATTTTAGTTAGATTAGTATTAACCAATATTAAATACTAGATACATGCATAATGTTTTTGTGTATACTATTTTGTCTTTTTGGGCTTATGTATGTCTGCCGTTTACTTTATATGTTTAATAACCCCTTGGGTTTCTTCTCTTTCACTAAATAGTGGATATGTTTAATTCATTTGATCATACTAAAATAAAATAGGTTTTCAATCATACCATATCAGTGTTAATTAATATAATATAAGTAATGTGTATGTCTTACCTCTTTAAACGATGGCTAGAAATGAAATAAGGTTTCAAGGAAACTTATTACCTTAAAAGTATATAAAAAAGCAACAAAGATTTTTATTCCTTTTTTTTTCTTTTCCTGGAATAAGTCATATTTTTAACCGCTTTAAATAATTTGCACACTGCATTTTTATACACTTATTCAATTGGTATAATTTATGATTACTGAACCTTGCAAAAGTATACATGAAGTCATGTGGTCTATTAATTTAATTGATTAATATCTTTAATTTATAAATAAAAAAAAAGAATAATTGATTTAACAAGACATTAAGTAAGTTTTATTTTGTTTATCAAGAATATTGACATGATAGGTTTATTAGTTGGTAAGGGGTAAAATGTTTTCGATGATGTCTGACTTAGTATACGTCCAAAAGTAATATATTAGAGAAACATTATACTTAATATCAATTGATGCGAGCTGTATTCAAATAAAAAATAATTAAAAAGTAAGAAAACAAAAATACCGACTTCCCAGGAAAATTCAAAACGGAAAGTCCCTAATCAAATGGCACAATCAAATGGATAACAACGGTCACATTCCTGACATGGTTCAGACATTTTCTTATGTAGAAAATGGTGGATTAAATCTGGTTTTATAGATAGTTTAACCTCTTACTTGTATGACAGTCGCAAACAATTCCATTATATTGACGACAATGTGTGAACAAAACAAACCGACATAATAGGTAAACATGTAAAAAATAGTGGTACAGCAATCAACATTGTGTAATCTTAATCAATATAAAAAGAAAATGTCAACAAAGAAAAACAAAAAGGCATATATACAAAGCATATTAGCAAAAACGAACGACAAGAATACAAAAAATTACCATAATACAAAAAGGTAATGACGGAATGTATAAGTACCGAGCCAAGTGAAATGGATATTACCAAACAAAAAAAAAGACTAAACAGTAAAAGTATTACAAAGTCAAATAAAAGAACAAAATAACATCCAATTAAGTTGCTTCTTAATCCAAAATGTTCACTCTTAATGGTACCATAAAATGAAAGGATATCTGTAAATTTTAATTGAATAAAGATGTGAATGATTACAGGAAACAGTAGTTAAGTGATGTTCAAATATCCTAACCCTATTTAGAATATACACAGCAAGATAATTTCAGAAACTCCAAATTGATAATAACCAGGTTCGTCGACATGGTAGAAACTCTTCAAAGATACCGGTCTTATACAGCTATCTTATCTATCTATAAAACCAGGTTTAATTCACCATTTTCTACATAAGAAAAAACCTGTACCAAGTCAGGAATATGACAGTTGTTATCCATTCGTTTGATGGGTTTGAGCTTTTGATTTTCTCATTTGACTACGGACTTTCCGTTTATAATTTTCCTCGGAGTTCGGTATTTTTGTTATTTTACTTTTTGGTACACCAGACGCACGTTTCGTCTCCAAAATACTTTTTTGTAGTACTAAAATCAAAACAACTACAAGGCCAAATCTGATTAGAAGTTAAAGAGTATTGAAAACCAAACAATGTGGTTCAAATCGTTGTTTCACGTTCGGACAAGCATCTCCTGCTTTGCGAAAATCAACGCATGATACATGTAAAATTGAAAATGGAAATTAGAAATATGTCAAAGAGACAACAACCCAACCAAAGAGCAGAAAACAGCCGAAGGCCACCAATGGGTCTTCAACGCAGCGAAAAAATCCCGCACCCGAAGGCTGGCCTCAGCTGGCCCTAAATAAAAATGTGCACTAGTTTAGTGAAAATGGACGTCATACTAATGTATATAGTTATTGTGTTTACGAGTTTGTTACACACAAATAAAACTGTATACACAACTTTAAAAACTTACATTAATCATTTTAATACATTTGTTCTCGTCGATAATAATCAGCATCAATATGTATATCATTATGTAAAGCTTAATTACAACTGCCTTGGTGATCTTGTTCTTGCAAGTCCGTTTATAGTGCAGAAAGTTGTGGATTCGATCTCATTCCAGTGTCAAACCATAAACTTGAAAATTGTTAATTGCTACTTATTCGCTAAGCATGCAACATATAGGGGTAATAGCAAAGATTGGTCGTTCCAGGTTGGTAAGAATGATGTGTATGCGAAGGGGAATGTATTCCTGGTACCTTTTGAACTAACACTTTAAAGTCCTGCTCAGTATGTCGGTCCAGTATTAAGCAGAGGTTTAATGTATCCAAAGGGTTTGGTTTTGTAATTATCAATTTCATCTCCCTTATCTTATATTATTTTATAATGTTTACCATATTTACGTCTCAACTTGGGTTTTTTTTGCGGTTTTTGTCTTAAACTTTTTTTGGTGTCACCTCAATCTTTATAATACCATTGGACATTGGTTAGTGTATGTAATTTTTTATCGTTCGGATCTATCGATTTCTATATTAATACGACAATTATATATATATATATTTTTCATTTGTATACTAAGCCGGATTTTGAATGAATGAATGAATGTAGTCATACTTTAGTTGCAAAAAGAATACGCAATGCCAAACAATTAATTTAGAATTCTATTGACCAAACAGGGTGTATCCTGACCAACAAGAATAAACCGGTATAAGCTAGTTACATATATAGGTTTGGGAAATGTTTAATCTTTTTATATCTAAAATTAGAAATGATATTTTGATTTAAATCAAACTTATAATACTGTTTGTAGAAGAATGTGACCAATGTGTGCTAGTTTAAATTATAAGACTTGCCTCCAAAGGATCAGTTAGTTAATAATAATGAAACATATGGATGTTATATCTTATCCGTGTATTGTACTTCAGAATCGCGTATGTCAGAGTTAAATTATCGCAAATGATTGTAATAAATGGACATATATATTCTTTTTCCGATGAAATATGCATTATGTTGTTAAAATTGATCAAGCTACGTATACAAAATGGACTTCTATGTGTAGTATGTATGAAGCAGACAAAAAAGAATGCACATTGATCGAAACGAAAGTTTTGAGGATTAAGTATTTCCAAAATTAAATGTTCATTTACAAAATGTCATATAAGTTTTTTATTAAGATTCATTTACTTTCAATTACTTTGCAGGGCCGTTAAATGGAGTTACTAGCTATATTTCTTTCAATATTGTTAGTATCGTGACAGGTCAACGATCAGGATAGTATTCCCGAGGTATATAATAGTGATACATGTAATACAAATACAATATATATGTACATTGTGTGTCGGTAAAAAAAAAAAACTAAACACAAAACCACAAAGAACGAAAAACAAAAGGTACTTATTTTACATCATGATGTATCGCGAAAGTATATAAGGATGCAAACATACGCAAAACTGACGGTTTATAAATTATAAAAATGATTAATCAAGAAAGAAAAGTAAAACATTTTAATAAACTATCATTTGTTTATGGAATAATTTCCTAATCAAATATATCTGATTGTTTAACTTTCCAAAGTGTGTAAACTAAAGTTGTCAAAATAGTTTCTCCCAGCTAAATAACTAATTCTTAATTTTGGAAGTCAGAAAAAAAAGTGATAAAAAACTTTTGTGTCGTTTGCAATTGTGTCATTTGCTTCAAAAATTGAAAAAAAAGTTGCATAACAAGATATTTTCCCAGAACGAAAACATCTTGATTACATTGATACATTAGGACCATACATAAGCAATTGTTGTACAACGACGCAAAACGTAAAAGGCGTATATTACCATGTTGAGTAGTTAAAACACTTCAATATAATCTGCTTGGTCATCTGGTCTGTTTGATCGAGTAGACATACTGATTGTGTCATAAGTGCTTTCTTCATTTCTACCAAAAAAAAAACCGTTATAAACATATTAATTATACGCTTGGTACAGTTTATGTGTATGATAATCGTCAATTGCAATCGTTCTTTATCAGCTAATCGTGTTGATATCGAAATATTTGGTCATGTTTTAGGGCTAGATAATTACATGCTCGAATGATTTATTCGTCTTAAAATGTAATACAGAGTACTTTGTAGGGTTAGAATTAGGTATTCAATAATTTGCCTTATCGCCGTGTAACTCGATTCTAAAACAGAATTCATCTAAAATGATATTACTGGTGTCTATTGAGCATTAATACCATATCTGAGTAAATTGAGTTCACCCACGGCTTGCAATGTGTTTCGTGCAGTTTTTGTTTTTGTTTTCCGCATAATTGTTTTTCAATATTTCGTCGTTTTTTATAGCCGTCATTACTAAATATCGGGGTTCATTTGATTCCCTACTGTCCGTCTACACTTTTGTCTGACCCACAAAGGGTATATGGTTTGCAAGGCTTTCGTCTCCCTCAAGCTATATTAGCTATCTAATTCAGGTTTTAAAAACATATAAGGGAGGGTATGTTGAAGGAGTTTGCTTTCCTCTCATTCTGTTTTATAGATAATAGGATGTTAAATTTCGTCTTTGTATACCCCTCTAATAATACATCCGGTGATTTGTTCACGATTGCCATTACACAACGTTGTACACATCTATTTTATATTTTCATATACGTAATATTGACATTTCAAATTTGTAAAGTTGCTACTCCAGTTCTTGCAATTAAAATATTATATACATATATATTTAGTAATTGGTTGCTGCGTGTACATGGGAGAAAACTACCTTTCTTTTTAAACAGTTAAGGCATCCTTTTTTCCAAATCGGAACAACATGTTTTTAAAGATTATTAGATACTGTTCAAAGGGGAATAATCCTTATATATTTAATGATTGTTTCTCCTATTAACTTTTCTCTTCCATATCATATGCATGCACTCACTATTCAGTGTTCTATTGAATTCTTTTCTGTTGCATTTTATTATTTCATTGTCATAAAATATCATAGTAATCTTGGTATGAAATTTAAAACACGCAAGGTCCATAATTGGATTAATATCTATTTCTTTTTCTATACTGCGACTGTGTCAACTCTTATATACTTATACAACTTAACCGTTCCCATGATTGTTACCGTATTCCTTTGTGTGCTTTGAACATCTACATGTTATCACGACACCGATTTGGACACATGGTAGGTTTTTAGTTTGTAAAATAGCGTCTGCATCATTTTATGAAACAAAGACAGAGAAACAAATGTACAGCTATGCTTTCAAATATTCAATCACTAACGTAAGTGTTCTAAATTCTCATGTTGAAGGTTTTAATATCTCCGTTTTTATTGCCAGGCAAACACTCCACCCATTCAATAGTATAATTTTGAACTAAACGACTTTGGTTGCTTATAAATGACAACAATATTTTTAAAAAGTTTAAAAAGTCAGAACACAATCTTAAACCTTACATTCATAATGAATAAATAAATACAGGAAATCTCAAATGATGATATATTGTTTATGTTGACAAAATAATTTTATACTGCTTATTCTGCTACACAGTATCATCATTCATTACAATTTTAATTAGATTGAAAAAGTCCCAATCAATCTGTAAAATTCAATAACAGGCTACGTTTTGAGTATCGTGGTGTCTAAGATCGAATAAAAGAGAAGAAAAAATAACAGTTAGTTGAGAAGCTCACATCTCATATCGGTCAATAAATTTGTTATGGTGACCATGAAATGTGTAATAGAGATTTCAGTCAACCTTCCACATCATCTTATTTAAACGTTATCTTTTAATCGTTCTGAAAACATGCTAGCTAACCATCCCGATGCAGTTAGAACTTATTCAAGGTTTTACTATTGTTTTAAAGGATACAAGATATTGCAACTATCAAAGGAGTCTTCTAGTAAACATTCATCGTTATTTATACACGCGTCTACTTTTTGCCTAAATATTCTTTTGTTTAAAACTGCTTTTCAAAATTCAAATGTAAATTAATTTGTTTATCTGTTCGCATTCTAACCATAATGTATAATATTAATACTGAGTTTTTTTTGTTTTTTTTTCGTTTTTTTTTTTTAATTTAGTTACCATACGAAGCATAATTATGATACAGGTGACTAAATTTAACCTACCGTGTTTGCATTGTAGAATTATATCTGTCTGCAAAAGAAAGGTATATCAATTGTCAAGTATTGAAAACAATGTATATAACACGTTATAACTTTAATGCGTTCAAAGAGCTTTTCTGGATTTACCATCATATAGGCGAATAATTGAAAGCAAAGGATCTTTAAGGACCAAAACAGCTGTGGAGCTATATAGCAAAAAGGGACCTACAAATTAGCCAAATCCATCTGAAATAGCTCTATGCAATCAATTTAGATTTGTTTGTTAAACTGCTTAAGAACAATTGTGTCGTAGCAATGACCACGAGTACATGTTAACAATGATGTAAAAAGAAATGCTTCCAACAGTCTTGGTACTATGGAATGTAAAAAAATATATTTCTGGTAAGCCTTCAAATGTGTATTAACCAGTCGCAGGGCTGTACTAGCACATTGATGTAATAATTTGCTACCATTTTTTTGTACTATCATGTTTTTCCCGATTTAGAAAGGAAGTGGTTTTGCTTCACTGTTGGGTCAAATCTAACACTTTATATTTGTTGTGTATTCGTCAAGCTTACGACATTACTAAGTATGATAAAATACTACTTCTTCTGCTACACGGAACACTTTAGCATTCGATTTATGTGTTCCACGGAATATCCTCTTGGATACCCCTGATTTGACGTATGTTCAGCCAGAATGTAATTACTACTTTAAAAAATCAGATACTTTTCATAAATTAAAAACATGTTGCTTTAATATTTTCGACTGTTTAAAGACACCTGCTGCAAGTGAATCAACACCTATCATTTCTTCTTGTAAACATAAAAAAAAGGAGCGCGTGTAGGACATGGAATATGTTAATCACGACTTCTGATTTTACCAGTAACTTGACAGGAAAAACATATTATACTAAATCTTTTGAGCCTCTGGACTGTTCCACGGACAATGTCGTGTATGGAATTGAATGTACTTTGTGTGGACTACTTTATGTTGGTGAAACTCGACAAACTTTGCGTAAAAGGATGAATCAACACCGGTCTGATAATAAAGATCCGCAATTCAGGGTTCTTTATAACCATTTTAATCAACCGAACCATGATCCCTCTTTATCTATGAAAGTACGCATCATCGAGAAAATTTATCAGCACACAAATAGTTCTATACTAAGTACTCCTTTCCGAAAAGATAGAGAAAATTTCTGGATAAGGGAACTAGGTACTGCAATGCCATTGGGTTGCAATGATAATGTCAAAGGAGTAGGCAATTTGTCAAATCCAGCATGCAGTGATGTTAATGTAATGAGCTTATTCAATACTACCTTACGACAACAACGTAGGCATGGGCAAAAACATTACCATCGACCTAATGTAACCTGTTCAGTTAACCAATAGAAGAATTGATGCAATCAACATCTGCAACGTTCTACATCACAAGGATGTAACATCTAAAATTCCACTTTATTTTCAAAATCAGTCTGTTCCTATTGTATCATACAGTTACACCAAAACCATTGCACCCAGAGTATTTAACTATAAACAAGCATTGCAGGACCTTGATTTAGAACAATACCTTTAAAACCCTCTGACATGTGACTGTTCCCACTCGCCTTATATTTACAACCCCTCTGGTCATATGTTATTACTGGGGATCTAAACATAATTCAACATGAAAATCTCCGAAAGGTGATATCTTATGGTTCTAAGTTTGGAGAACCCCTACACATCAATTGGAGCCATAACCTCAAAATAATTATGGATTCCATTGAGGCTGACGCCAGAGCATGGGCTAAACGAGAAAAAGTTGAACTGGACACTTTGTCAGAATGGGTCAAAACAATCAGGTCTATGATAAAACGTCGCATTCATAGGTTGAAAAACTGTGTGAATAATCGACCAAAGTCCGTTTTCAGAGACAAAGAGGCTGTGAAATGTCTATTATTTCTTCACGATAAGTATGTTGTTGTTCCTGCGGACAAAGTTTCAAATAATATTGTCTTTGTATGTAAATCGTACTACTACGAGTGTCTTGTAAAGAATTAGGAATAAATGAGCACTCACGTAATCCCACATACAAAAACATATCATTTGACATGGATGAGATTTTGGCGAATCATAAGTCCTTCATGGCTTCAATGAATATTACATTGAACAACAAATTGGAGGACTTATCTTATTGGATACCTAACTTCACAAAATTTCGTAAAACAACGTTACATTGCCGGCTCATTTGCATGTTCAACTAAAGAATTGTCCATTAGATTGACAAAAATTCTGTCTGCAGTGAAAGAGGGTTTTCAGAAACACTGTGAGTCTGTTTACTCGCGTAGTGGTATTAGCCATATGTGGATTCTAACAAACTCTAAAGAAATTCTGGATAATTTTAAATCTCGATCTTTTTCTGAAATTAGTTCTATCATAACTGTTGATTTTTCAACCCTGTATACCACCATTCCCTATGTGAAATTGAAAAATCGTCTAAAAGAAATAATCCACAATGCTTTTCAACATAAAAATGGTAGCATACGTTATAAATTTATTACTTTGGGATACCTTACGGCATATTTTGTTAATAGTGAACAAAAAGGTAAAACATGTTACACAGAGGAACAAGTGATCAGTATGCTGGAGTTTTTATATTGACAACATATTTGTTGAATTTGGAGGTAGACTTTTTCAAAAAATTGTCGGAATTCCTATGGGAACGAACAGTACGCCTCTCCTTGCCGACCTCTTCTTATTTTCATATGAATCGGAGTTCCTTCAGACACTTGTCAAAAACAAGAAGATCAAAGAAGCCAGGTCATTTAATTTCACATTCAGATATATTGATGATGTTCTTTCCATTAACAGTCCAAACTTTTATGATTGGGTTCCATTAATATATCCCCCAGAACTAGAAATTAAAGAAACAACAGACACGGCTTCCTCCGCCTCATTTTTATACTTAACCTCGAATTTGACATACACGGTCATCTCAGTACCAGAATCTATAACAAACGAGACGATTTTAATTTTGAAATTATCCATTTCTTCCACCTTAGTAGTAATATACCAACTTCACCTGCAAATGGGATATACATTTCCCAACTTATTCGGTACTCAAAAGCATGCAATAACTACTCAGACTTTGTAAAACGTCACCAGTGTCTGAGCAGAAAGTTGATGAACCAGGGGTATGTCAAAGAACGTCTCGTCCTTTTTCTAAAAACGTTCATCGGAAGGTACCAAGACCTTGCTGATAAATATTCCGTATCAACTTCACAGATAATACACGATGGTCTTGAAGTATAGATTATGGGTACTGACGTTGTTTATCATCTTAACGACGTGTTATATTATTCTTTTATTTGTCTTTATTAATATTGCTTTTACTGTTTAATCTGTTCTTTTGGTGGTATCCATTTGACGTGGCTCTGTACTTAAACATCCCGTCATTGTGTTATTGTTCTATGATAATTTTTGTATTCTTGTCTTTCATTTTTGCTAATATGCTATTTCTGTACGCCTTTTTGTGTTTCTTGGTTACATATGACGTGGCTCTGTACTTATACATCCCGTCATCGTGTTATTGTTCTTTGATAATTTCTGTACTCTTGTCTTTCGTTTTTGTTGATGTGCTTTGTCTGTGTGCGTTTTTGTGTTTCTTTCTTGCACGTGACGTGGCTCTGTACTTATACATCCCGTCATTGTGTTATTGTGTCATGGTAAATGTTTGTATATATATCTGTTTGTTTTTATAGTGATTGAGATAATAACACAACGTTGACTGCTGTACCCCTTTTTTGACATTTTTACCTATTATGTCTGTTTGTTTTGTTCACACATCGTTGTCAATATAATGGAATTTTATACGACTGGCATACAAGTGAGAGGTTTAGCTAGCTATAAAACCAGGTTCAATCCACCATTTTCTACATAAGAAAATGCCTGTACCAAGTCAGGAATATGACAGTTGTTGTCCATTCGTTTGATGTGTTTGAGCTTTAGATTTTGCCATTTGATTAGGGACTTTCCATTTGAATTTTCCTCGGAGTTCAGTATTTTTGTGATTTTACTTTATACTGTGCAAATCAACAGGTGCATGTGAATAAACCAATATTTCACTTTTTTCGGTTTTACCCAATCTAAAAGTTTAGGCTAAAATATTAAAAGTTAAATACTTATATAACGACATTTGATGCATGACGTAAGTTCGACAATGGCTTCGTCATGGATTCTGAATATTAAACATGGAATTCAAAAGGTTTGAAATGCTTCCCAAACTGTTCTAAATTGTGATGCCTCTAAACAACCAGTAATCGTTTCAAACTAATTAGATTTCATGATTTACAAGTATAACATTCCGAGTCAACTTCTTTTTCCTATTACCTCCATATGAACGGAACCTTACGAAATTTGAAGCTGTTACGGAATTTAAAAAGTACGCATAGGCGATTGATTGTGTTCAAAAGAAATGTGGTGCACAGAACAAGCCGAAGGCGAGAAGATGTACGGAATTTCAATAGTTACTGCCTTTTGGAAAGCATTGTTATTGTTAGATTGTATTTTTATGTTAAAAACACATAACAGGAATAAAAGCCCTGTTCATTGATAAGTTTTTATTTTTTCTATGTATTGTTTGTGATTGTGTCCAATTTACATTTACTCCATATCCTTTTATTTTCTATAAGTGAAAATTTTTCAACATATTAGAAGAGGCTAGTATCTACGAAAATCATTTAAATGAGAAGCCATGAATAAAAATGTGATTTCATGTCATTTTCAGCACTATGATAAAATTGAGAATCGAAATGGGGAATGTGTCAAAGAGACAACAACCCGACCAAAGTGCAAAAAACAGCCGAAGGCCACCAATGGGTCTTCAACTCAGCGAGAAAATCCAGCCCCCGGAGGCGGGCTTCACTGGCTCCTTAACAAAAAGTGTACTAGATCAGTGAAAATGGACGTCACACTAAACTCCTAAACATATAAATGAACGGCTCATTGATTAAGGCCGTATGGTGACCTATAGTTGTGTCATTTGGTCTCTTATGAATAATTGTCTCATTGG